GGAGAAAGAAGGGAGGAAAAAGCAAGAGGGAGTAAGGATGGTTATGTGGTAAAATATTTTAAGAATTGCTCAGCGTGGAAGGGAATCAACATGCAAGCCAGTTGCTTGCTCAGTTAGCCCTTGGATGTTTGGGGATTTCAGAAGGGTTCTCACCATTCTGAGGATTGGTGGGGATGGGTCACTGTGCTTGGACTGCACAGGTGCATGGTTTGTGCTGGGTACCTGCTTTCCTTCTGAGAGTCTGCAATGTTGGTGAGTGCTGAATGGAAGGTGCCTCTGTAGCCAGTTCTCAGTAAAATCCCTGGGCACTGGGTCTCTGGTGAACTTTCCTGATAGACAGTATTTCACATGTGTTGTCCCAACTCACTGCCGGGGGAATTAAGTATGTCCTGTGGTCTCCATTGGGAGAAGACCCCTGGAAGCTTGTGCCTGGTTTCCTCCAGACTTATTACCACGCTTTTTTCCCCCTCATTGCTGAGGCTTCATATCCTTTCACTGTTATAAATCTTATTTGTGAATATGACCATATGCTGAGTCCTGAGTCCTAGGGAATCCGTATTCCTCCACCCAATGAGAACACACTGTACACATTGTTTCACATTTTTGCTTTTCACATATAAAATATTTCAAAGACAGTCTGCATCAACATTCATAGATCAAAATCCTTTTCATGCCTGCATAATATTACCTATAGTGTATTAGGATTATATATCCAGACCCTAATTAATGGACCTTTAGTCATTTTTAGTCTTGCTATTACAAATAATGAGGCACCAAACATCCCTATACATGGATCTTTTTGTACATTCATAAGTATTATCAGCAGGTTAAATCTTTAGAAGAAGAATTCTTGGGCCAAAGGATATATGTACTTTACTCTTTCATAGGTATTACAAAATGTCCACCCACTAAAGAGGTTGTATGAATTTTTACTCCCACCAACATGTAGGAAATGCCTGTTTCCCCCACAGCATTATGGTTAAATAGAATTTCTTTACTGAATTTCCTTCCTGAAAAGTCACCTTCCTTAGATGCATAGTTCTATGGATTTTAACAAATGTATATAGTCATTTAACTACCATCACAATCAAAATATAGAGTATTTCTATCATCTCTGAAAGTACCGTTGTGATCTTTGGTAGTCAGTCCTCTGTCTCTGAACCTCGACCCACTGATCTCATTTCTATCCTTAGTTTTGCTTTTTCTAGAACATCATGTAAATGAAATCATACAGTATATAGCCTTTTGAGTCTGGTTTCTTTCACTTAGCATATGCTTTTGAGATTCATCCATGTTGTTGTAATTCTCAGTAGTTTATTCCTTTTTTGCTGCTAACTAGAATTCCATATGGCTGTGTCATTATTTAGGTATATTCACTAGTTGATGGGCACTTGGGTTATTTTGAGTTTTGGGTAGGCATATGTCTTAATTTTCCTTGGATAAATGCCTATGAGTGGGATTGCCTGGTCATATGGCAAGTGTATGCTTGACTTCATGAGAGGCTGCCAAACTCTTTCCAAAGTGGGTGTGCCATTTTGCATGGGCAGTAGCAACATATGAGAGTTCCAGTTACTCCACATCCTTGCCAACATTTTGTTGTTGTTGTAGTTGTTGTTGTTTTTAATTTTGGCCATTCTAATAAGTATGTAGTAATGTTATACATTTATCAAAGTAAAAAAAAAACTTTGCTATCTTTGGTAAGTGATAAAAGCAATCTCATTTTTTCATTTACATTTCTTTAATTAAGGGCAATTAGAAGACACTTAATATGTTAAGAATATATATTGCTCTTCAAATTGCCTATTCAGGTATTTTTCTATTAGGTAGGTTGATCATATCCTTTTTTTTTTTTAATTTTTTTAAGATTTTTTATTTATTTATTTGACAGAGATCACAAGTAGGCAGAGAGGTAGGCAGAGAGAGAGGAGGAAGCAGGCTCCCCACTGAGTGGAGAGCCCGATATGGGGCTCAGTCTCAGGACCCTGGGACCATGACCTGAGCCTAAGGCAGAGGCTTTAACCCACTGAGCCACCCAGGCGCCCTGGTTGATCATATTCTTAATGATTTTAATGACTCTATATATTAAGGTAACCAAATGGTTCATAGTTGTGAACATTTTCCTTAGTTTGTAATGTTTTACTATGTTTATGGCATATTTTGCTGCAGAAATATTTTAATGTTTTATATTAAATACCTCTCATGGGTGCAAAGATGTGGAGGTAGAAATGAGAGCATTTATGAATGGCAGGTATAGAACACAGGGGACTATAAGTCTAGGCAACCTGGGTGAGTCAATTTACCCAACCTTGACTGTGACCCCCAAACTAGTGATATATGGCCAGTACAGATTTTCTTAAGTCTGTCTGACTGGCTACAAAGAACCCAAGCTTATTGACAAATGCAGCTGCTTTGAGAAAGGGTAGAGTCCCAAGGGTGTAATTCTTCAATTCAGATGTGGAAGAGGATTCATTTAGTGAAAGCAATGTACTTATTGCAGAGACCATCAATACACGAGATTGTTATGCTTGTTGGCTGGGACACAGGGAATTCCTGTCTGCAGTCTCAGTGATATCATTTTGCTGGAAACAGCCCTCCTCCTTGCCAGCCCTATACTTGAATATGGAATTCCATGATGACCACAAAGACTTATTGTGCTCTATGCCGTCTGTGGGCATAATAATGCAGGAGAGGCCAGAAGGGATATGGATGAGGAGGTAGATGGTATGGTGGGACAAAGTAAGGGGAAGGAGAGTGAGGAAGGGGACTCCTTTGCTTCCTTATTTCCCACACACAGAGCCCCTATGGGCATTTGATTTCTGCAGTCATTAACGTTTTTAGAGTCAAGCATACCAAGTGAAAGTCAGTTACTTGCTGCTAATCTGAAAAGAGCATAGCTCACAGCAAGAGCTGTGGGGTGGGGAGCATGGGGTTGGCAGAATCTGATTTGGAGGAAGAGCTTGTTCTGTACCTACTACCATTTCCACTGCCTGGTGTCTCTAGATGGGCTCCTCCCACCCAAAGCTAAATCTCTGAAGGGGTTCACTCAGGATCAGCTAGGCTACTTTGTTAAAATAAATGCACTCCTTTTCTAAAGAGCTGTGAACTGAGATTAACAATCTAATTAACATTTCAAAGACTAGGACTAAAATATCAAATAAAAGCAAATGACATCCTCTGAAGTCTGTGGTTCAAGAGATCAGTGGGACAAGATGTGGGTAATCCACTCAGTTATCCATCTCTACCTCTCTTTCCATTTCATCTTCCACCTTTCCCTTCCCCTCTTATTCTGTCTTCTTGCACGTGTCCCCAAAGCCTGATTCAATTGTGTTTTCCCTCCCTCTCATTTGCCTTTTGCCCTTTAACTACCTGGTTATCATTGAGGCCTTGCAGCTTATTTTTAGTATTTGTGTATTTATTGACATTGTACTGACTTCCTTGACTTAAAAACACAGGCAGGAAAAAAACCCCACCAAATTAAACTGCTTTGTCCTCAAACTCAGCTCTGGATTTATTAATTGGAAAAATATGGGGGGGGGGTGTGAGATGGAGTAAGATCTTTCCATTTGAACAGAACTTGGGGTGAATTCTTTTGCACTGAGTCTAGGAACAAAGCTGAGTCATTTCTACATGTCCCTAATCCAGAGCAATGGCTGAGGCAGTGAAGCGGGTGTGAGAGATCTGGATTGAGTTCCTCTCTGCTGTTTGCAAGATGTATGACTTTGAGCAAGTCCCTTAACCTCTTGGGGAATTACAATCTCAGTTTCTGTTACTTAGCTCCAAGCTTCTGACTATCATGGACTGAAGACTCTATTTTAAAAGATAAAACACTGTCTGGTATCATCTGTGACAACAGTCCTGACAAACCCTCCAGCCAAATCCCCAAAGTCAAGGTCACTTTTCACTTATGGATGTTGGGATTGGGTCCCACATACCGTGCTGTTACTGTGTGCCAAGCACTGTACTAAGCTTCAGTCATGTGGTCCAAGATAGGGCAGTGGTTTAAAAGCCTGGCCTCTGTGCTTACTTTTACATCAGTATAACTCTGAGCAACTTCCTTAACCTGTGACTGAGTTTCCTCATCTGTAAAATGACAATGATGATGATGATAATAGTACCCGTAATTCTGACCTTATTTAGAAAAGGGTCTTTACCAATGTAATTAAAGGTCTTAAGATCATTCTGGATTTCAGATGGGCCCTAAATTCTATGACTAACATCCTGATGAGAGAAAAGAGGAAACATGACATACACAGACATAGGGAGAAAGGCCCTGTGCAGACAGTGATTAGAGAGATGCAGCCACAAGCCAAAGAATGCCAGGAGCCAGCAGAAGCCAGACAAGGCAAGAAAGGAATCATTTCCAGAGACTTTGGCCCTGTTGACACCTTGATTCTGGACTTCCAAAATCATGAGAGAATAAATTTCTGTTATTTTAAGTCACCAAGTTTGTGGTAGTTTGTTGTGGTAGCTCTAGGAAGTTGATACAGACGATAAAAGTACATCTACCTCCCAGGAGGGTTAAATGAATGGTTATATTTAAAGTTCTAACGGTACAGGGTGCCTGGGTGGCTCAGTCTGTTGAACATCTGCCTTCAGCTCATGTCATGATGCCAGGGTCCTGGGATCAAGCCCCGCATTGGGCTCACTGCTTAGAGGGGAGTCTCCTTCTCCCCCTCTCTCTGCTGCTCTCCCTGCTTGTGCTCTCTCTCTCAAATGAATAAATAAAATCTTTTAAAAAAACGTGCTAAGAGCAAAATGTGGACTACAGTGAGGGCTCTTGAAGTATCGGCTGCTATGTATTGTTAGCTCACTGGATCTTACCTAGCAACCCTATGAAGTAGGTACTATTATGACTCCCATTTGCACATGGAGAAATGGAGGATTACAGAGGTTAAGCAAAGGTGAGATTGTCTGGACTCTGCTCTAGCTTGACCCACACTTCAGAAGTCCCTGGAGTTGAACTTTCTGCTCATGGATCCTGGTTGGCTCGGTGACCCCTCATGATGTTCTCTCAGCAAAGATTCTTTGGTACTGATCTATCAAGACCAGAAGGTATAGAGAAGACCTCCCATGTAGTGGTGTTTATTACTCCTGGATACATCTTACCAGCCCTGTTCTTGGCACAGGCTCTGCTCCAACAGAATCAGGCTCTGTCTACACTTGGTTGTTTGATTGTCCTATGACCTGACCTCAGTGAGGTAGCCTCAGCACCTCATGACAACAGACAGGTGTATGCTGCCTAAAAGGCGCACTCCTCACCCCCCACTGACTCCAGGGACTTCAAACGCCCCTATGCTACTGAGTGTAGACTATACAAATGATTAGAAATAAGTCAGATCACTTAGAGTAAGGCAATGCCCTTGCTGGAACCTGCAAGGTCCTATAAGAAAGCAACCCGGTTACCCACCTGACCATCTTTTATCATTCTCCCCTGCATCACTCTCCATGAGTAATGACCTCATGGCCAGGTACTGTCCCACCTTAGGGCCTTTGCACATGTAGTCTGGTTGCCTTTAATGCTCTTGCCCAACAGTTATGCATGCTTTCTTTTTTACCCCCCTTGACTTTCATCAATATCACCATCTCAGAGAGGCCTTTCTTATTCAACTTATCCTTCTTCTTTACCTTTCCTGCTTTTCCCCCCTCCTTAACACTTATGATGTAACATGCCATAAATTTTACTTATCTTGCTTATTGTCTTTTCTTCCAAACTATGATATAAGTACCATGAGGATGGGGATGCGTATCTGTTTTGTTCACTACTATAGCTCAGAGCCTAGGACAGGACTAGTGAACAGTATAATGTATTCCCTAGATAATTGTTGAGTGACTAATTGAAAGAATGAGTGAAGCAAAGCCCCTCCTTGACAATAACTATGAAACTCCCCAACTGAAGTGGGTCAAGTCATGAAGTATCTAGAAGCAGCACACAAAGAGAGAACTAGTGGAACAATTGAGCTTTGAAGCTTATGGAGGGAACATAACCTCTTATTGAGCTTGATTTTAAAGGAGACAAGGGGGGCGCCTGGGTGGCTCAGTAGGTTAAAGCCTCTGCCTTTGGCTCAGGTCATGATCCCAGATCCTGGGATCGAGCCCCGCATTAGGCTCTCTGCTCGGCGGGGAGCCTGCTTCCTCCTCTCTCTGCCTGCCTCTCTGCCTACTCATGATCTCTGTCTGTAAAATAAATAAATAAAATCTTTAAAAAAATATAAAGGAGACAAGGAAAAGGATGTGGTGGAGAAAGAGGGGAACAGACTTCTAAGTGATAGAGAAATCTCAGACTTCTCTGGAAAAATCAAAATCCAAAATTCATTTATTCATTCAACTGGGAACACAGCAATGACCAAGTCAGCAATGACCAAGGGTACTTACACTCTAGTGGTCATCATGTCAGGTAGTATGATCTTGGAGAAAAACATCTGCTTATTGGAATGGTGAGATTGGAAGGGCTTATATTTCCAGAGGGCTGAGAGGTCTAGATCAGTGTGGCTTTCATCTGGCAGCCTGTAGGAAGCTATCTTGGATTCTTGATCTGGAAAAGCCCTGGGAATGTCAGTTATGGGAGATTTCTGCAGCCACAGGAAGAGTGGATTCTTATAGGGAAGGGCATTGGAAAGGGTGAGGTCCGAGAAAGGGCTGTTGTACAGAGGTGGAGGTGACTGGAGGGGGTGATATCACCATAGAAGAGGGTGGGTCAAAGATGTCTGGAATGAACTGAGAAATTGAGAAAGGATCTTAAAGCCCCAGAGTGTTAGAACAATCTAAATGTGTGTCACCAAGAACAACTACTTGAGGGAAGGGAAGGAACAAGATAGGAAAGTTGGTGCAGGGACTTTGATGCCGGGATTTGGGACCAGATGAGGCCAGATTAGAACCAATCCCTAACTTCAGTGACTGTCCCATCACTGGCCTTTGTGAAGGCTCACAGGAAGGACCACAGTACTCTATTGCTGTTTACCCTCCAGCACTTGTCTGTGTTTGCTCTTCTCTGTGTGACAAGCCAAGCTAAGCCCAGATGTAACTGATCAAACTGGAAATGGTCTGAAACTAGTGAGTCATACAGGATCTGCAGAGTAAAATTTTCGTGATTTTTGCCCAAAACCTACCACACCATTCAACCCTCCAAATCTTTTTATTAATGTAGTAAAATTTTAAGATATTACATCTTTGGTATCATGAAGTGAGATGGCTGGGATTTCTCTGTTTGGCAGAATTTTGATCTTCCTTTTAATAGGATGCTAGCTGTAGATGTCAGGAGGGCTGTTTGTGTAAGAATCGAAAGATCATTTTTTCTTTTTTGTTCTTTTCCTCTGACATAGCTAATTGGCTTGAAATCAATCTGTTTTTACAAAGCTTGGGTTTCCTTCAGTTTTGTCTCTCAAGTGAAGAGCTGAACTTTCTACCTGACTTTCACCTTAAATAGAAACATTTTCTCGCTTGTCATATGAAAAGGAAAAAATGGGAGGGAAGCGGTAGTCTTGAATTCTTTAGTACAGTGAGACAATTCAAAGGAAAGCAAACACAACACTTTGCCATTACATATTTTGATAAAAAGTGTTCCTTGAAATTGTTTTTTGAAATGCCATTTCACATTGTGTGATAGAAACTGAATTTCTGTTATCCACCAGGTAAATGAAGGGCTTTCAGGGAAGTGGGGGAGAGAGAGTCACTGTGAATTTTCCATAGCAATTTGACTGTAGCAGTCACAGCATCTGAAAGAGTTCTGGGGGCCAGAGAAGAGGGGGCAGTAACCTAAGTGGGTTCCCTTTTTATGAGCACATCCCAGCTATGTCCCCCGTGGATCCCCACATCTAGTGGTATGGCTAGTACCACATCCTAAGAGGAGATAAGGGCTTTTGAAAACTACCTGCCTTAAGCCATAGAAAACATGGTAATATTTTAATTGCTCCTCTCTGGTAATCTAGCCAGTTACATGAAAAACAAATTTAGTCATTATTATTTCATTTTTTTTGTAATAAAGTTTTTAAAATTGTGTATGAGAAATTCCAAAAGTTTCTCGCTGATCTAAGTTCTTTTTCTTGTCATATCTGTCATAAGAATATGATGAAAATCTTCAATATAGTCTGAAAATATGGATGTCATTGCAAAAGCTGGGCAAATGTGGAAAAGTATCTCTCTACCTGTCCAGGAATAATAATGTAAGTAAATAATCTCATTAGGAAATGGAAGAGAGAGTCATGTCAGGCTGTTTCCCACCTCAGGGCTTTTGCAGCTGCTGTTCCCTCTTTCTGGAATGTTCTTACTCCTTCTCATGGCTGGTATTTTCTCATCATCCAGGTCTCAGTCAAATGTTGCCTTCTTGGAGAGGCTTTCCTGACCCTTAGTTGAATCCTCCCACCCCAACTCTGCTGCATATCCCATTCCTTGGTTCTAATTCCCATTAAACTGTGTAATATCCCTTAGTTTAAATTTCTTCTTAGTATATATCATGACCTGGAGTTGCTGGTTTATGACTTCAGTTCTGGGTTATTTATCTCCCCAGCCAGATTGTGAACTCCAAAGAGCAGGGACCTTTTTGGTCTTTGTCACTACTAAGATTAGTGCCCAAATAGATGTGGAAGGAAAATGAGAGCAAAATTGTCATATATGAAAACTAAATAACTAAATAGATTTTGGGGGGAACAGCTTGAGGGAGCCAAGCTTTCAGAATTCAGTTTAAATAGAAACCGCTGCAGTGTGCTGCCCTTGGGTATTAGATTTGTAATCGTTCATGCCAAGTGCTGCTTGTAATAAGCTATGTTTGTCAATACCATCACTTTGGGAACTGAGGCAGGTAGTGCCTAGGGGGTTCTTTTTCAGATTCCAGAGCCCTGGCATCAAACAGGAGACTTCTGCCACTCCAGTTATATCAGGATATTTTGGCTTCAGAGTATTAAAATCCTGACTCTAACGGGGTCAAAGCATAAGTCGCACGGGAAGTTTGGAGCAGGGATTATTCTTTTAGCAGTTCAAAATGCTGTGAAAGACTCAAGTGTTGTCCATCTCTCTGTTCTGCCATCATTGAATGTCATCTTATCCAGGCAGGGTAATGTCTGAGGAAGACAAGAGTGCTGCCATTCTTTTCCTAGACTTGCTCCAGCAGACTTCCTCCAGGGTCTCAGGGGCCATTTTGGGGTATACATGCATTGTTGAACTAATCTTTGATGAGGGAATGAGATTATGCACAACAATAAGGCTTGATCCTGAGCCTAAGGGGTGGAGTGTATCCTTTTCTCATGAGGTATGTGGACTGCTTGGGGAGTGGCAATCATCTGAACAAAACTGAGGTTCTTTTGGGAGGGGAGAAGGAGAGGAATTGTTGTATATTTCATCTATTGTTCCTATGCTTGGAAGCAGGAGCTAATGGGATTGCTAAAGCTTTTAAGTTTTGTACTGTGTGGTCTGATAAGTAAAGACTAGTTTAAGATTCTAGAGGTTGATGAGCAGACTGGAGACCCATACAGTTACAGTCCTTTGGATTAAGTCCAAGCTTCTGCTCAAGAGCTTGGGAAGGCGCTCCTGTTTCAGCATATGGTGCCTGCTGCTGTTCAAGTGGGAGACCCAGAGGGGGAGAGTCAGTCGGGCTCCTCTTTTAGCTGTTTTAATCCCATGCCCTGTCTTTAGAGAAGTGCAATCTATTCTGCAGAGCCCATCTCATTCTGTGTGTTTCTTTATTGCTTTATCTTACCCTTCTTTTCCAAAGCCTAAGAAAAAAAGTTTAGGGATGGTTTGGGAAGTTGAGAGAGGAAGGGAGTGAGTTGTCAGAATGGAGGAGTCGGGCAGCTTTCCATTTCTTGTTCACTTCTGCTATATGCTCTGTTTGTGATGACCAAAGTAACTTGTGCCTTTTATATGATTCTCTTTGGAGCTTTATTATGTCCCACGACAGGCTCAGACTAACAATAGATGAGATAATGTAAATGAAGAAATGTTCAAAACTTCACAGCCTCTACACCATTACAAATTACAACATTTAAGTGTGGGTGAAATGCGAGGGGTGTGTCAATCCAGAAAATGGCATGGACTGTTGGGACTTGGACGTTTGATGATATTTTCTTAATATTTTTGAACATCTTAAACATTTTGTGGTAGATTTTAAAAATGAGGGCAATCCTTGCTTTTTTGTTGTTGTTTGTACCTTCACAGACCAGCATGACCTATTAAACAGCCAATTTGGGATTCTTCCCTGTCCTCATTCCTTATCTGGTCATTGACCTAATTCTGTCCATTCTCCTTACCACAACCACTAACAGTCTTGGCCCTTATCACAGAACAGGCAAATCCTTTTGTTCTTGAATTATTTCCCTATAATAAAGATGAACTTTTATCTGTCTTTGATGTCTCCAGATAGCTAGCACAAGACCTTACCAAAACTGGAGGAAAATCAATATTTTTTTTATTTTTTGTTGATATTTTCTTTTCTGCTTTTGGTTTCAGAGTCTGAACTGAAGAATTTTTGTTCCAGAAATATACTGATCATCCTTGGCTTCTCCTGTATCATAGCTGTGATTGCTTTGATTGCTGTGGGGTTGACCCAGAACAAACCATTGCCAGAAAATGTTAAGGTAACTCAAATCTGAGGGGGTCTGGCTGGGGTGCTGTGGGGGAAGGGGAAGGGTATGGTAAATCAGAGCATACAGGAGGGGTGGAGATTCTGGCAGCCCAGGAGCAAGTCAATATCCACTGGATTAGGGAGGTAAAATGGAGTGATGCTCACGGGGGAAGAGGGAATGTCTTGAGTCAATTGGTGGTAGGAAGATAATTATCTTTATGCTTGTTCAGCAATAATTATTAGTACTTTGAGAGAAACAAATACTTTATTCACTACATCCAGATATTATGTGATGCTATTTTGTGCTGATATTCTATGACTTGGTGTTATCTCTACTTCTTTTTTTTTTTTTTTAAAGATTTTATTATTTATTTGACAGAGAGAGATCACAAGTAGGCAAAGAGGCAAGCAGAGACAGAGGAGGAAGCAGGCTCCCTGCCAAGCAGAGAGCCCAATGCGGGACTCGATCCCAGAACCCTGAGATCATGACCTGAGCCGAAGGCAGAGCCTTAATCCACAGAGCCACCCAGGCGCCTCGTGTTATCTCTACTTCTTATTTATTGTTTCACTGTGGCTCTGTCACAACACTGCACTCTTTGATCTTCTTACTCAATCATCATTACTATACCAAAATAATTAAATTTATTAGAAAGCATTACATAAAGTAGTTTGGAAGTCAAAGATTATGGAGAAAAATTTTTCCTCTTTTTCAGAATATTAAAGAAAGCAGCAAAGTCAATAAAAAAAAACACAAAGAACCACATACATGTATCAAATATAGTGATTTGAAATTAATTCATGGGTAGACATATTTCTTCAAAATTTCCACATTTGAAGAGCTAGTTAATATCATTAAAAATAATTAGGGTCATTAACTTTGCTGTGATATATTTCTACTTCCTTCCAAATTCACCAATGTAAAATTTCAAAGACATGAATATGTTACAAATAGCTTGTAATGTCACTATTTTATTCAATCTTAGTTAAAAAGCATGTGAAAAATTTAAGTTTATGTTGTAAATACAACATTTTAAACTTTCATTGAAATTAAATAAATGTATAAGTAAATAAATCTAAAAGGGCCCAGAATATACCAATTTGCTAATGTTGTACATATTGGCACAAATGTACACGTAGACGATGACATGTCTAGAAGTTAATTTGACCATGGAGGCTCTGGAATACATGTGCAGAAGTTTATTTTCTTGTATTTGAAGACACCAAACTATGAGACTGGAATGATGGATGCATATGCCAGGCTTCTAAAGCTTTTGCCACCCACCCAAATCAGTCGCTATATAGTAGAGGTCTGGATGTTACATTGGCATTCCTTTGTGACATGAACTCAACTCAGTATTGCTGTGCACAGCAACCCCTTTGTCAGCTCAGAAGGCTGATATTATCTCATTGTCAATGGTCTCTTGCCTTTTAATATTGAGTGATGTTGGCTCTCTTGGCAAAACTTCACTCACAGTTGAAGCCTCGTGACATCTTGGTTCTGCTATTTGTTTACCAGCTCCAAAAGTACATGATTGCCTTCTTCTTGATTTGACCTTTTTACATGTTCATTATTGCATCATTGGAGAAGGGGACTGCCTAGGAGGCAAAATCCATGACAGACTTGAGCTCTGTGTTCCCAGTGAATACTTCTGGTCATGATGACTTTCCTGCATTTGTAGCGGTCATCATTGACTCTGTTGTGATTTTGTCTTGTGTTGGCCCCAGAAAATGGAACAGGTCTTTAAATAGGAGGTATGAGTATTTGAAGAGTAGATAGTGGCATATGAAATGGATCTTCATAGCAATATCACTGGTTTATTTTATACAAAGATCACTTTATATATGCAAACTAGTCATTTATTAAGATCATATACTAATTTTAATAAGATTATTGGCAAATATTAAGGACAAAAATATTTTAGGAACTTGTCTTTGGTGATGGCTTTAAGCTATGTATACTTAATTTGATAGTCACTAGCCATATGTAGCTATTTCAACTTGGGTTAATTAAAATAAAATAAAATAATATAATATAATATAATTTTGTTCCATAACTGCAGTAGCCACATTCCAAGCACTCACTCAATAGCCTCAGGTGCCTGGTGGATACTAAACTGGACAATGCAGACTTAGAACATTTCCACTGGGGCAGAAAGCTCAATTGGACATTGCTGCTTTAGAGCATACTCTTTGATAATATCCTCGAAATCATTTAAAACTAAGTTTGAGGAATAAGGTATATGATAAAACATTATAAAATCCAAAATAAGGAAAAAGAAATGAGACTTTTTCTTGTGTGGTTTGTAAACCAGTACCAGGATCATTCCAGATATCACGAGCTACTAACGGGCTTTGAGTAGTTTGTTGAAATAAATTTATTTCCTTTCATAAATGATGATTTAAAGGATAATACTTATTTCAATATTTGTACCTGGTACATTTGTTTTAAAAACCTATAACATCGTGGGGCCTGGGTGGCTCAGTGGGTTCAAGCCTCTGCCTTTGGCTCAGGTCATGATCTCAGGATCCTGGGATTGAGCCCCACATCAGGCTCTCTGCTCAGCAGGGAGCCTGCTTCCTCCTCTCTCTCTGCCTGCCTCTCTGCCTACTTATGATCTCTCTCTCTGTCAAATAAATAAATAATTTTTTTAAATTAAAAAAAAAATAAAAACCTGTAACATTGAACTTCCAGGGAAGATAGTGGAGTAGGAGGACCCTAAGTTCACCTCATTCCTTGGAACACGATAGTATCCACATCAGTGTAAATAACCCAGAAAACGATTTGGAAGACTGACAGAAGAGACTCTTCAGAGCTAAATGTAGGAAAGAGGCCATCTCAAAGAGAATAAGAAGGGTGGAGACACATTTGGAAGTTAAATGGACCTGTCTATAGTGGGGAGGAACGATACAGGCATGGAAAGGGGAGAGGAAAAGACCATCACACCAAGTACCTCAGGTGCACAGGGATTCTGCATGAAACCAGAGAGGCTTAATTTCCTGAGTTCTTAAAATCAGCAGGGATTAATACCTGGAAATTTGAAAATTAGTGGGCTCAGTTCTGGAAGAGTCAGGAAGGTGAGAGGAAAGCAGCACCCTTAAACAGCCCTGTGGAGACACAGCATAGAAGCAGCAGTTTGAAAAGCACCTGGGGTGTGCAGGAGGGAGATTTGTTTACTAATCTCAGAGCATGTGCTTGGAGGGGCAGGGATCACTGGGAGACTTCTCCAGGAACAAAGGAGCTAGAGGATGCCATTTCCTTCCTCCACCGTCCAGCATAAACACATGATACCTGTGACCCAGCACTTCTCCAACAACACTACCTAACTTGCTAACAGCCTGCCCCACCCTGTGTTCTCCTGTGGACCTGCTGGTACCAACCAGGCCTCACTCCAGGTCTTCTTTCACTACAGACCTTACTAATACCACCCACAATGCCGCCAAGTGCTTCTTGAGATCCACTCCCTCCAATCCAGCCAGCCTTGGTTCTGGTGGCTACAGGTCCCCTTTCACAACAGCCCTAAGCAAACCTTGCTAGCACTGTGTGCCCCCCCGCCCCCGCATTCCTGCATTCTCCCATGAACCTGTCCCCTCCAGTATGCCCTTGGCCAAAGCCTATCCAAAGTGGTGCCCCAAGCCCGACAGTATGCAACCAGCCCTGACAGACCAGCACCACTCCAAAGTGACTCCTGTCCTGGGGACAGTGGAAGAGACCACACTACACACACCACACAGACCAGTCTGATTGTAGTGCCAGCAGTGGGCTGGCAGCTGATGTCTGGTATGACTGCAGGTCCTGGCCACCTATGAAAGCCTCTCAAAAGACAACACACACACAAAATGCCCTATAGTTTGGTGTTACTGCATCTCTGGCAAACTCCTGGTCTGACTCAACTCAAGCTGAAAGTGGCCCAAGACTGGCCCACTAACAACACAGGTATCAGACCCTGCCTATAACAGGCAAAGAGAGCCATCACAGACAGCTGGACTGAAGGCAAAAGTGGCTCAGCCACAACAGCGGGACACACACATCACACATAGGAGATACCCCTGAAGTGCCAGGTTCTGGTAAACAGGGGACACTGTGCAGTAAGGCACTACAGGACTTCTTCATAAGGCCATTACTGTCAAGTAAATGAGACATAGCTATCTTTCTTAACACAGAGAAACAGATGCAGAGAGTTAGACAAAGTGAGGAGACAGAGGAATATATCCCAAATGAAAGGACAGGACAAAATCACTGCAAGAGAGCTAACAAATAGAGATAAGTAATATGCTTGTAGAGAATTTGAAGTAATGGTCATAAAGATACTCACTGGACTTGAGAAGAGAGTGACACTCTTAACAAAGAGATAGAAAACCAAAAAGATAGGCACCTGGGTGGCTCAAGTGATTGAACAACCAGCTCTTGGTTTTGGCTCAGGTTGTGATCATAGTGTTGTGATATCAAGCCCTGTATCAGGCTCTGTGCTCAGCTCAGAATCAGTTTGGGATTCTCTCTCTCTCCTTCTCCCTCTGTCCCTCCCCCTGTTCTCTCTCTCTCTCTCTCTCTCTTTCAATAAATAAATAAAATCTTTGGGGGAAAAAAGGAAAACAAAAGTGAACCAGAGATGAAGTACTCAATAACTCAAATTAAAACTACATTAGATGGAATAAATAGTAGACTGGAGGAAGAAGAAGAATGGATCAGTGACTGGAGCACAGAGTAATGGAAAGCATCAAGCTGAACAGGAGCTAAGAAAGAAATAATTAAAAATTTAAAAACAGGGAACTCAGTGACACCATCAAGCATAAAAACATTCACATAATAGGGGTCCCAGAAAGAGAAGAGAGGGAAAAGGGAACAGAAAATTGATTTGAAGAAATAATAGCTGAAAACTTCCTGAATCAGGAGAAGGAAACAGAAATCCAGATCCAGGGGCGCCTGGGTGGCTCAGTGGGTTAAAGCCTCTGCCTTCAGCTCAGGTCATGATCTCCGGGTCCTGGGATCGAGCCCGCATTGGGCTCTCTTGCTCA